TGAACTTCTCGATTTTCAACTTCTCAATTTTCGCCTTCTCACTTCTCTTTCTCACTCCTTTTGTTTTTTCTCTCCAGTTTGTACCTTTATTAAAACTTATGAAATTTTCTTTTTCATCTATCTTCTCATATTCCCTTTTTGTTTTTTCCCTTTTTTTTTTTTTTAACTTCAACTGACAAACTTATTAGAAGGGTGGTCCACCACTACTCTTTTTCTCTTCTATTATATGTCCAATTAAATTTACACCCTTACTTGAGGCCTCAAGGAATAGTGTTCCTTGAAGTAGAGTAATTCTCAAATTATATAACAAACATTAAAAATTGTAAAACCACATTAAAGAGAGAGTTAGGTGGATAGACCCCTTCTATTTTCTGGTCAGATTGCCATCATGTGATAGGACCGCACTATAATTGTACCACTAGAAGCTTATATAATGTAGTACTATTGGATATTCAATGGTACAATTTATGCATTTATTTAGTACAACTGAATATGTATATTTGTACCACAACCATAATTTAATAAATTAAATAAATATATACATAACTAATTTTAACTCAACTTTACTTAATACAATTCGTGCATTGCACAGGCTAAAGGCTTTTTTTTATTAAAAATTGATGACGATCATACGATGTTCCAACTTTCTTGATTCCTGTGAATTTTTCACAATGACAAATGCATTATAGACTCGATGATGTGTCATTAAGACACTAGCAAAGACCCTAGCAGATTCTTGTACAAGCATCCTGTAACACCCCAATAATTCTCTCTTAAAAACCTGTAGATACCTTTATCAATTTGCAAGAGAATTACTGACGTGCTACCGCCAGGTGTTCAAACGTTAAGGCTAGTTTAGAGTTTAGCAGCGGAAAAACTAAATCAGTTATCAATAAGTTTCAAAACCAAAAATCCAAATCGAATTTAGTCTTACAATGCTAGTTGGAACCATCCTTATTCAAAACCCATTAAAAGTAGTAAATAAATCAAACCAGAGTTAAATTTAATCCAAACTTATGAAACGAAATATACTGTGGAAATATCCAACACTCCACTCAAAATCTCACTACCTTGATGCAAGTTCTGATTATGTATAAACCTGTGATTAATCTGCTCCCCAATATTACAAGTGTAAAAATAGGATCATTACAGGGTCATTGAAAAGGCGAAGGCCATGACCAAGAAAAAGACATACAAAAGCACGCAATCAGCAACGCTGAGTACATACAAGCTACAAAATATAACAAAGAATCCCTAGCATGTTACTAAAAATTAATCAGCACACACAATTTAATTATTGACTCAAACACACGGTTCAACTGTTAACATTACTAAGACTTCACTAATTACCAACAATAATTCATTTCATTACATTCATTAATTGGATTAAGCAATAGACAAGGTTGTCTCCCCATGCTCCATTTCGGAACATCAATAAAGAAAAACCATATGCCTCCTTTCAAAAACATTAATAAACATCCAATGGCAGACGGGCGCAACTCCGTGGCCATAGCTAGTATGAGATCTCATCTAACTCCTTATAATTTAAAGAAAAACATTTGTAAACAAGAGACTCGTAGATCAGACGACCTCTAGAAAGTACACGACTAATACCCGTGTACCCCAACCCCTGTTTGTCATTACTCTAGATGTGCACAAATCCAGAGTTTTATTGCTCATCCATCTTGCACTTTACGTGATTTACAAGTTTAAACTTGGTGATGACTCAAATGCAAAACAATACAACCAATCATACATCCATCATTCAAACAATTCAAATTTCCAATTCAATTCTTGATTTATTAGTGACAAACAACATTTAATTATTAAATCCTTTAACTACCTCGGTGTATAAACATCTTAAGTGCATAGGGCACCTCAATCCTCAACCTCGTCTTATAAGACTTTAAATCTCCCTTTACTCATTCCATTTCATTAATTATGAACGAGTAATAAAATATTCATTCCATATATTCATGTACATGTGTCTCTAAGCCCATCTTGCAAGTTATTGCATAAATAACACTTACAAGAAAAATCAATACGCATTTCTCATACATGAATCAAACCAATCATCACATTAATCATCAATCAAACTCACTACCAAACAATTTCATCCAATCTACAAGTTTCCTAACATGATTCTAAGTTTTCCTAGTCCTTAAACATGCTTCTAAAGTCAAGGTTTTCGTATCCTTGTACGTACCTTGAGTAAACGAGTTGGTTGGCCACTTTAGGAATTAGAAATCGCCTTCTACAAAGTCCTCTCTTAAACCAAATAATAATAATTCAATCAATACCTAAGCAATATAATTTACAGCAATACTAACTTACTTTTAAACCCCTTAAACCATTGAAATAATGCTTTTAAATTACTCACAATAGTCAAAGTTATTAATTCAATAGTTCAACTATAAGTTTATATGTTAAAATCATGAAAATATAACTTATAACAAGAAAATCCAGCAACTTTAAATTAAGGATTATAATCTGGAAATTCAGTTTGAGAATATAAAACAACCTCATAAACATCTCTACTTGAAATAATCATTATATTGTAGGTTAATATGTTAAAAACCTACAAATCCATCATAAAACCATGATTTAAAACCTTTAAAACCAAGATTAAAAATCTGAAAATTTAATTTAATAGTAGAATGTATGAATACAACAATCTAAACTTAAAATATATAATTAGAATTCAATTAGTTTCATAAAAACTCAATTAAACCTTCAAAATTCAATTAAACAACACTTTAAAACCTTCCTTTTTGCTAGAATTAAAAGCTTATATATTATTCTTAAAATTTCCTACATGAAAACATTAAGATACATACTTATTCATAAAATTCAACAAGTTAGTGCTTTATAAAAATCTGAAAATTTATTTTAAACATTAAACTTTCGATAAAAATCAAAAACTGTCCGAAAACCATATTTAGAAGCTGAATTTGGCAACGAGAAGGGGGTAATTACTACCCACGGTAGTAATTTTTGATTAAAACGTCGTTTACACACGAAAAACACTATTTTTTTTTGTAAAAATTGAACGAGTTAGTATCTAAACGTGATTAAAACGTGATTAAAAACAAATTATGAATGGAGATCATAAGTTGATTACGGAAAACTGAAAATTTGTTTTTATGTTTAATTAATCATTAGAAATTCAATAGGAACAAAAGCCCCAAATTAATTGATCATTAGAACCCTAAAATCCCAATTTAACTAAATTAAAACCCTATGTTTAAAATTACAAAATCGGAAAATTAAAACAACAATTATAATCTGAAATTATTAGTTTAAAACATCACAAACATGATTTTGATACTAAATAAGCTAATTTCAAGCAATAAAAACCAAAACCCAAAAATCAATTACATAATCTTTATGAAAATAATAAGAAATAAAGGAGGAAGAAAATAAGACTAACCTTTTTGTGTGGCGGAAAATTTGGGGATTCATGGGGTATTTATAGGAGAGAATTGTAGGGTAGAATTGGGCCTCATGAAAATAATGGGCCAATTAAATAAACAAATTGGTTAGGCTTTGTTTTTATAATAATGAATTGTAGGATATAGGTTCATAAAATAATTTAGCCTAAAATTTTTTTGACCCAAATTAATAATTTGAAACTTTAAAATTAAATTCTGGAAAAATACAAATATATATTATAAATAAAATAAAATTTCATTATAAAATATTTAAAAATACGGGGGATTACACATCCTATATTAACGGTAAACTATTTCTTAAATAGCTTGAATACAAATTAGTATCAGTAATACTTGGTAAAAACGGCCAAATACAAGTTACTTAAACTGAGTAACAATTCATGTTACTCAAGGGATACGATTGTCATTCGCCTGCCTAAGTAGGGGGCAAAATATTCAGGCCATGATTTAATTGCTTTCTTCATCTTCCCTTCATTTTCCCCATCTCAGATTTTTTCCATTTTTGGCTCCTCCGTCCTCCATGGTTTAGCTTCCTCCATCAACGCCTTCTCCATTTCCATCACCTAAGGTGGTTAAAATTGTTGCCGCAAACAAGATGCTTCCCCTAAGGAGTTGATATGGCTCTACTTGACACTCTTTTTTACTAGTGTTTCATTTTGTTCCGCCGCGAAGAGGCGTTGTGGGCTTGAGAAAGGATGAAGAAGAGGAGGTCGATGGGGGAAGAAGAAGATCGAAGGCCAACGGGCTTGAGAAAGGACGAAGATCAACGGGGGAAGAAGAAGATCATTTTGAGAAAGGAAGAAAAGAAGAGGTCGAGTGGCTATTGTGATGTATTTGGCGGAGTGATGAAGGTTGTGATAATGGTGGTGACTGTGGTGGTGGTGAACATTGTTAAGCACAGGTTAGTACCCAACTTAATAAAATAATAATTTTGCAGGAATCCCAAGGGCATTATTTACAGAAGTGCCATTTGAGTAACAATACTAGTTACTCAACTTGAGTAACCTGGGCCGGCTAGGTAAAAACCTCATATATGAGTTACTATTGGACTTAAATTTTTAACTTTATATTTTTATTTGCAATTGCTTATGCTTATCAAACCAAAAGAACAAGAAATCTTCCCTGATTGTTTGAGAATCGACGTCAAAATAGCAACAAATTCTAACTGTGGTTGCTACATATACCATCACATAATCTAGATTTGTTTTGCATATGTAAATCTCAGCCTCTCGGGGATCGAGTGAACAAGCCTTATACACTAATGATGCGATATAGTGATTACAGTACTGCAAATTTACCTTCAGACAAAGCAAATTTACCATAGGACCAAGACTAAGTATTGAGAAAAATAAGCAAGTTTTCCGACCTCTACCAAGTGTTGCCTTGCTTTTATGCTTGTTTGTTGTTAGACCTTTATAGATATTGTGTCTTACTTGCATATTAGCTCCCCTCCAACCCAACTTGATGCGCTAAGGACTCGTGGTTCGGACCCGCTTGTGCCCGCTTTGAAGTATCGGCCGTCACAAGCCCCGACCACCCGCACTCCGTCGCCCAGATAGACGTGAGTGCTCCTGAGATTCTATTGCCCGCTTGTGTTGCTTTGTGCTCACAAGCCCCTCTTCCGCTCAAGGCTAGCATTCCTGCCGCCAAAAGGCTAGAGCGCGCCGCACGTTTCGGGGTCCAAACTCCCGGACCGTGACAGTTGGTATCAGCGTATGTTCTTGAGAAACGGCGTCATCCCCAAGAGATGCATTGGGGGGGGGGGGGGAGGACATAGCACGTAAACTGAAGAGAAACTAGGGTACTGTAACAAATAAATTTCATTTCTCTTTTATGCATTTATGTATCTCATATCACAGATATCAAATATCTGAGGAGCATAAGTGAGGCAAATGAGATCACTGTACAGATCATAGGAGTGATCACCTGATTCACCTCAATGAGAATAATTAATTGCTACTATGGTAATCAGGGGTTGTTACTGAAAGATAAAAATAAGCCTTTGGAACAATGTAATAATATATCAATACGGATACCCAGGGGTGCATTCCATACCCTTCCAAGATATCATTTTCCGGCGATCCCTTCCCCTGATAGATCTGGCTTTCAGATCACCACTGACTGGCTTGCACAAGCCAATATCAATTTCCAAGGGTTGAGAAGCCTCATTTAGGTAGAGATCAAAGAGCATTGCAAGACAATGCACTTGATGAGACAAGATATATTCTTCTTGATCAGGAGGTAACATCTTCAGTATGTGAAGATTGACCTACAAGAAAAGAATCAACAGTTAACGACAATGTCAAAAGAAACCAATTCCAGTGGCAATAGTAACAGACTGAGATCAATGCAAATGCTCCTTGACTGCTCCTACTAAGCCTAATAGAAATAGCTCAACTATCTTATACCTAACCATTAAAGGTGGGCGAATCAATGCACAAGACTAGATTACATGACCTTAATTGACCGTAACACAGCTTACCAAGTCATCAAAGTGCAGATACAAAGGATGGGTCATTCTGTATTCATTCTGAACAAAATAAATGGCAAAGAATATTGGAGCCAATCCCCCCACCCCCCAGAAAATAAACCAATTGACAATAGAGATAACAGAAACATTAAAAATCTTCCCTTATTATCAGTATATTTTTAGGTAAGTTTTAATACTTTATACTAACCTCCGTTTTTTATTAGTTGACACGTTTTGACTTTAGCACTATTCATACACCTCCTTTTGACCATATTTTGTGATTTATATGTGAAGAAAAATATAGTCAAGTGGGATCTTGTTAGATTTGTCAGAACATATATTTTCAAAATATCAACTTTTTATAATTTTTGCTAATCGGTAGTTAAAGATATTAATGATTGAATTTGTGCATTGACAAACGTGACTAAAGAAACGTGTCAACTAAAAAGAAACGGAGGAAGTAGGTTTTTTCTTTCTTTCTTTCAATAGTAGCATTTCTAAGCCCATGTTGACAAGGGACAAGGACTGAATTTTAAAACACTTAGTCCTTTTTACATAAATTCTGGTTCTTAGGTATCAAGCTTCTAGAATTTCTATACAACAAGCTGCTAAGCTAAGAGTTGGTCGGTCATATCATAGGCGTGAGCTAGCCAACTTTCCACTAGGTATCAAGCTTCTAGATTTTCTACACAAGCTGCTAAGCTAAGAGTTGGTCGGTCATATCATAGGCACAAGCTAGCCAACTTTCCACAAGCTTCCAAAGGTTAGCTGAGTTCTTATAACAAGGCAAGTCACAATCCTCATTCTTTTCCTTGACTAACCAATTCCAATTCTTTACTCAGTCTCTTTCTTTAGGAAGACATCTTCCAAATTCAATTCCTGTAAATAATTTACCCAACACACTTCTCATCTATCCTATTGCAAGAATGACACTATGTAAGATAAAATGTTCTACTTAGTATTTTTGAATGACTTACTGCTATGATGCCATGCCATTGGATCAAAGTTCTCAGACAGCAGTTTCTATGAAATGATAGGCATAAAAACTATATACTCTTTGTCAATGTGCTAAAGGAAGCCTAACAAGAACTTAGGTTGCACAAGGACAGGTACCAAATTGAGTACGGACACAAAACGGGTATGTAACGCAGGTTTACAAAAATAAGAGGATACGGGTAAAACTAATTAAATATTACATAATATGTTATTAAAATAGAAAATTTAATGAAAATTTCAATAATTTTTTATTATTATGCAAAAAAAAATCATTAAATTTCATCAAAATGAATAAATTGAAAACAAAGTTTGTAAAATAAAAATAAGTAACAAGTACATAAAATCATATGACAAAGTGTCCGCTACCCAAAAGGGTGCGGTTGCGCATTGTGTGTTTGGTACGGGTACGATGATCAATTGAAGTACCATGCATTATAGACAAGAACAAACTTGGATTCAGTAATGATAACATTTCAAAACAATATTCACACAAATGATAGATTTTGTATTAGTTCATCATCAAATTACCATTCCATTTTTAAAATTAGGACCCTGATGATATGTTAATTTCAAAACATTATATAAACAAGTAGATGACTTTGTAGGACATTTCGCAGTTAACACTATTTCTCTATAAAAATTAAATGTAACAAGACCATTCAACACAATACATTTAGAAATTATTCAAGGGACAAGGGATACAAAGTCAAGCTTGGGGAACTACATATATGCCTATTAGGCTATACTATTAGGCTATATTGCCAAATAAGGAAAACTTATTTTAAGCAAAGGAGTCGAGACCTATGCTTTTGAGCTTGATAAAAACAATTTCTGCATAATTCAGTTTTAATCAGGGAAAATCAGTTATAAATAGTGCAAATCAATTTAAACGATAATTTTGATAAGTTAAATCAATATCAAACTTAGTTAAAATATTTAAAAATTAACTATAAGAAATAATAGGGTTCATACAGCAAAATTTAAGAATTGAACATGACAAAAACACTAGTGAATCAGCATGATCACAATTTTATTTAGAACAAATACAAAACTTAAATGAGTTTGGCTCAACTGAAGTGATCAAGGCTTTAGAAACTTTAATGCCTACCTCAGCTTCCATAGCACGAAGCTCGTTGTACCATATGGAGTGGTTGAAGGATGAACTGTTTCCATCTGAAGACTGAGCACATAAACTCAATCTGAAAAGAGGAGGCCTGAGTGGATACTCCATGCTTATACAAATCTGACATTGCATACAATCAATCAACAAAGTGGCTGAAAAACAGCAGAATAAAAAAGAACATCTGAAACTAAGTATTTACCTTGGCCTCTAGATCAACATCCCCCTCCTCCACATCTCTTTTCCGGGTTAAAATAAGTTCAAACTCTTTAACTGCATAATTCACCCAAAAATTTCCCTCGTCAATACTTTCATCTTCCCGGTCAGTTTGGGGAGTGTCATCTACTTCACTTTCACTATCCATCATAAGATCAATATCATCCTCATTTCGCCCAAAACTCTGGTTTCTGGCAGTTTTGACTGGAACTGTAATATTTTTTGATATTAGTGTCATCCGTTTAGAATGTTTGGCAACTGATCCTTGATTTAGATTAGCAGTAGATTTTTCATCAGTCACAACAGCTGCTGGAACCAAAGATGGAAGTTCCCCATCTTCTGTCACAATCCCTTCTTCTTTAGAGGACCCAGCTCTTCCTGCCATGTTTGTATCCAACGAAATATGGCCTTGTTCCACTTCAACTCTAGCTAAAGGAATACCTTGGTTAAGAGAAGATCCTTGAGGCGACCACCTATGAAGAAAACACAGGTGTTCATGAGCAGCCCACGGAACACTTTGACATCTCAGAGGGGGCCATGTATGTTTTGTAAGTGAATCAAGCTGTTCCCTGTAATCCAAAGATAACACTCAACAAAACAGAATCAACATAGATAAACATAAGAAAAGACAGTCTACATTATATTCAATCCCAGCAACCAAAAAAAGCAGACTCAAGATTTATTTGACTGTTGGCATCCATACACATAAGAAAAAGTTAGCAACTGCAAGGGACTGCAACTAAGCCAAGAAAAAAAAATTAAAAAAATGAAGGATCGAAATCCAAAATTTGCAACATTCTGGTTTTCATATACAAGTCTTATATTCTATCCTATCACTTCAAAACCCAGACAAATAGAGCAGTGACTCACGCAAGTGCAAGCTGAGCCTTCTTCCTCAACCTAACTCTTTGCACCACCGTCTGCACTCGATTTTGCTGCCGATACAGTGAAAGTCCAGAAATTACAGAGTCCTTCCCAGCCTCAAACTTAGCAGCTTCATTACTAGTTGATGAGGGCGACAACTCCGGCAGAAAATCAATTCCTGCCAAATGCTGGGCCCATTTATATGGGCGCATAGTACGTTTTTCATCAAATTCTGCTCCATCACCCAAGAGGAGCTTAGCAGACTGCACCAATAACACATCAAGTTAAAATTTCATTGCAGGATTTCAGAAGAAACAAAATAATCAGTATTGAAAAATTTGCATATCCCCGGAATCATACTACATATACACAATAGTCTCACAAATTTTCAGGCAATAGTATATCAATCATCAAGAAGTCAATATGACCTAAACGAGATGTTCATACTTGATGAGGTAGCTCAAGGCCCGTGTCATCAGGGAATAGATTGCACAGAATGTTATTTTCAGGCCCTTGATCAGACCCCTCAACACCCACACAAACAACATTCAGCTTAAACAGGTACTCAAACTTCAAAGTAACAAGTCTGGCAGACTTTGGATCAGAAACTTCATTTTCATGGACATGGAGAATGATTCTAAGTGGATGAGCTTGATATATCCCAGCTGCATCAGCATTTTCCTTGCCAGCCATTTTTTTGGGTCGTTTTCTCCTTCTTTGACCATCATCTTCCTCATCCACTACATCATCATCTATCCGCGAACTTTCCTGCATGGATGAAATGCCTGGATAACAGAAATTTGTCAGTCCATTCACCCAATGATAGATGAAAAATATTATATCTACAAGGAAATTCGGCATCATGCTATAGCTACTGCATGCACATTGCCTTTTGTTTCTTAACACTGAAGAAACAAGAATAACATGTAGAACATTTAAAAAAAAAAAAATTAATGAACAATATAAAAGGGGGGAAAAACACATGAAGATGTACACTACAGACAAAAGATTAGACAGCATAATATGATCATCCATATTGAATAATTCAGATTTAAGAACGGGAATAGCAGATACCAGTATCTTTCTGTGTTTGCCGCCTAACAAAGGCTTGAGCATCCTTCAAGCTTCCAATTATTTCCAATTCAATGTTTTCCCCAAAAGCTTCCTTTTGGGCCATGAACTGAGAGTAAATTATATACAATGGCTGAGGAAGCAACTCTGCTGCATGCAGCTGCTTTTGTTTCTTCGTATGTAAAAGTCCTAGTTGGTTTTGTGCAGGCAATGACGCTTTCTTCAAAGCCTTGAGATGTGAGGGAAGACTTGACAAGAACTTCTTTCTGTTGGCAATAGTCTCCAAAAAACTTTTCTTCTTCTGCTCCAGCGTCTCACGAAGCTTGCATAGCTCTTTTCTCTGTGAAAGCCATGTCAGTAGTTTTCACCCATCATACAAAGTTCATAATATTCAAGTCAAAGTGGAAACTAACTACAACCATCTCACTTGTAGTGAACTATATGAATCATAAATATAAAGTAGTGAACTATATGAATCAAAGCAATAAAGCTTGCAAGCCCCTTGTATCACTTTGTGAACCCCCTAAAGAAAGAAAGGAAAAAACAGAAAAAATTTGGGTGGAGAGGCTTAGTAATACATAAATACTATCCCTGTCCCCTTAATAGTTTCAAACTTTACTTCATTGAGCAAGACTCCCCTCTTAGGTATAGGCTTCATGACTGATGAGTCCAGTTTCTCTCCTGAGAGTCCTACTTGGATTCTGTACCCACAACCAGGACGTGTCGTGTCGACACTAGTACAGAGGGATGGAGGACCAAGTCAGAGCTTCGCAGACATTAATAGCACTCCATAATCAAGACAATCACACTAATTCAACTCTTCTATTTAGTGAGAACCGCCTTTACAAAAAAGAATTTTGTAAAAGTGAATACATCTAACAGGTAAATAACTTTGGTTCATTCATTTAGAAGATTTCAACAACAGATATATGTAAAAATGGAAGTAGCTAACAAGTAGAAACTTTAGTTCTTTCACCAAGGAAGTTTCATGCACTACTCAGCCCTAGTTGCTTTATTGCACTATCATGTCTATCTAGCAGCCTGCTAGAAGGAAATCTGAAGGGATAGTCTTCAATGTCAGCTTATGTAAACAGGCAGATCATGCTGTTGTTGGCTGCAACATTGCATTGTGGAATGGAAGTGGTAAATGGTTGCTTCTGTGCACTATTACTGTTCCCTACTATTTTACAATCTCTCAGGTGGAAGAATATAACAGCGTGTTAAGAGGTCCTGATTGGGATATTTTCTCAACAACAGAAGTAATATTTCTTGTAAATAGGAACATTATGACATCATCAGATGACACTGGTGGCTTGATGGGAACAGAAGAAAGCAGACAGATGCTGTGATAGACCCAAGTCAACCGACGTTGGTGTACACGAGACGCGAGAAAAAGCAGCAGCAGCAGCAGGCATAGGGAAGGCATTTCTTTGCAACATGCCAAATGCAATTAAGAAAAATTGAAGAAAGATGGGCTATCAACTTTAGCAATGTTCATTTATGGTTTTTCTCAATTAGTAAAGTATCACATGTACTCTCCCTAAGGTCAGCCTTGACCATGAGTATAAGTATTGTAGTATGAGGAAGAAGAAACGTATCCAGAAAATTGTGAGGAAACTCTTGAGAGATTTGCAACCTAAAGTTGCTTAGGAGATTGGCAGCCTCAAATTGCTAACTTGTATCCCTTGTCACGAATTAATCAATCGAGTATCAACCTTCCATTTCCTTAATTTCTTGTTAATTTACAGTAAATTGCTTAGTCTATTACAAACTTTTGATACAGGACAATAGGAGAGCCACCCCAAAAGTTAGCTCGGGGGAGGAGAGCCCATTGTCCTATATAAACCCCACATCAGTCCCCCATATGACCGATGTGGGACTCAAGTCCCATACAGTCCTATAACATTCGCCCCTCCTTACGGACCGACGTCCTCGTTGGTCAAGGCAACGTTTCGGCTGGCCACCAACTCCGTGGGCCACCACTCTGAGGTTGGCTCACGTGGTGGCGTGGTGGCGGCGGCCGTGAAGGCTGCCATGGAGGAGAAGCGAAAGAAGATGGATGAAACGCTAGCAGCCAAGCTGGAGGACTCAGGGTGGATATGGATACTCAGGCCACCATCGAACGGGGGAAGGTGGAAAAGCTACGGGAAGAAGTCAGTGAGAAAGATGGTCAACAACCACCCCGTCCACCGCCAGTAAATTCCAACTGGAGGTGGAAGCTAGCCACAATCAAGATGAGAATTGAGTTCCCAGCCCAGAGTAAAACGAAATTTTAGGAAGCAAGGGTGGCCAGGTGAGGATGGGTGGCGACCACCAGGTGAGGATGGCGTGGCGTGGCAGAGGATGGCGTGCTGGAGAAGACGGAGGCGGCGACGATGGTGGAAAGTGGAAGCATAAGTTGGACATGCTGATTTTCAAAGGTAAAGACCCAGATAATTGGGTTATGCGGGCGAAAATGTACTTTGACTTCAATAGGCTGTGGGAGGAGTATCGCGTGACGGCGGCGGTGGTAGCCATGGATGGTGCAGCGCTCCAATGGTACCAATGGGAACAAAGGAGGCCGTTCGCCCGTTGGGCGGATCCACGACAACGAATTCTAAAGGAATTTCGATCAACCAACGCCGGTTCCTTGCACCAGGAGTGGTTGGCAGTGACGCAAACGAAATGACAACGGTAGAAGAGTATCAGAGAAAGTTTATCGAACTAGCGTTTCCCTTGGAGGACGTGCCAGAGAGTTTATTGAAGGGTCAATTCGTGAATGGCTTGAAGGAGGAGGTGAAGGCGGAGCTCCGATTGTTAAATCCGGCTACCTTAGAGAATGCCATGGAATTGGCTTGAAGAATTGAAGAGCGCAACACAGTAAGTGGAGGAAGAAAAGGGACTGTGGGACCTTGACGGGTTGGGTCTAGTAGTTCGAGTCCAGCCAAACAAATCCCATGAAGAACCAATCTTATGGGCTCCCCACAGCTATTTCCAGCCAAACTTGGCCACGAGCCCCAGAGTCGTAAGGGTCCATCAGTATGGGCCGGCCCATCTCTTCCCAATCTTCTCCGAAAATGGGAAATGTACCCAGAAGACTCATAAAAAGTGAGCTACAAGAGAAACAAGCCAAAGGGCTTTGCTTCAGTTGTGACGAACGTTGGGGAGCTAGGCATCGTTGCAAGAGGAAGGAGTTAAGTGTGTTATTAGCCGGAGTTAGGGGCAAAGAGGAGGAAATGAGTGCAAGTCATTTGGAGGATAAGGAGTGGGAAGAACCCGAAACCAACGTTGAGGTTTCCCTTTATTCGGTGGTTGTGATTTCCAACACGAAGACCAGGAGGTTGAAAGGGTTCATCAAAGGGAGGCAAGTGGTGGTTATGATTGATCCAGGAACGACTCATAATTTCATATCGACATCGGTGGTTGAGGAGGCTAAGATTCAACTTACGAAAGGTGGTGAATTTGGAGTATCACTCGTTAATGGTGATATCGTGCGTGGTAAAGGAGTGTGCCAAGGAGTGCGAGTCAAGTTGAATGGTGGAGTGACGGTGGTGGAAGATTTCCTTCCACTTGACCTAGGCAATACCGACCTCATACTTGGGGTCCAATGGTTGGAAAAACTAGGGGCGGTCACCACAAATTGGAAGACCCACGAGATGAGATTCACGGTGGCCAAATTCCAGTGGCCGGAGTGCTGGTGACACTCATCGGTGATCCGTCTTTGGAATCGACCCTCATTTCACTCAAGGCCATGTTTCGTACTATAAGCAAACAAGGCAATGGGCTATGGGTGGAAATTAATCAAGTTCGCAGGCCCAAAATGAAAAAAAAGGAAGAAATTGGGCCTCATGGTGGAACTGGGCCGCCAGCCTTCTTAGAAGACATCTTATTGAAATTTGAGAAAGTTTTCCACTTACCAAGTGGATTACCACCATCGGAGCATACCATCACTTTGAAAGAGGGGCGAGACCCGGTTAGCGTGAGGCCTTACCGGTACCCACAAATTCAAAAAGACGAGATTGAGAAGATGCTACGGGAAATGTTGGAAGCCGGAATAATCAAGCTTTCGACGAGTCCTTTTTATAGCCCGGTGTTGTTAGTAAAGAAAAAAGACGAATCGTGGAAATTGTGAACTCGGCACAGTGGCTACCGTGGGCGAAGTATGCATACAACACCTCGCCGCACACTTCCACTAAGACAACACCGTTCAAAGTGGTGTACGAAAGAGAACCGCTCAAATTAATGCGAGTTGGGCTCGGCGGACTCCGGTGGGATCTTTGGAGGAGCAGCTGAAAGTATGCTGGACGAGTACAGTTGTATTTAATCCGAGCACAAGTAATGAAGTGTAATACGGATAAACACCGCCGGGAGGAGCAGTATGAGGTGGGGGATGAGGTATTCCTCGAGATTCACCCTTATCGGCAGCGTTCTTTGGCCAAACGGCCTTTTAAGAAACTGGTCGCTCGTTTCTACTGCCCCTTAAAATCCTTCAACGAATTGGCAAGGTGGCGTACAAGCTGGACTTGCTTAGCTCGTGTAAACTCCACCCCACCTTTCATGTTTCGCAACTGAAGAAAGCCACGGGGAGCCAAACCATTCCCGCACAGGTGATTTGGAATTGGTTGTGGAACCCCAGAAGTTGCTAGATGTAGGGAGGTAACAAGGTAGTCCCGGAGGTTCTCATTCAATGGTCCGGGTTGCCCCCTTTCGAAGCCACGTGGGAGGAATATCAGGCCATGGTCAATCATTTTTTGTCCTTCCTAAGGACAAGGTGAAACTTTAGGGGGGAAGTATTGTGATAGACCCAAGTCAACCGGGTGTACACGAGACACGAGAAAAAGCAGCAACATTAGGCATAGGGAAGGCATTTCTTTGCAACATGCCAAATGCAATTAAGAAAAATTGAAGAAAGATGGGCTATCAACTTTAGCAATGTTCATTTATGGTTTTTCTCAATTAGTAAAGTATCACATGTACTCTCCCTAAGGTCAGCCTAGACCATTAGTATAAGTATTGTAGTATGAGGAAGAAGAAACGTATCCAGAAAATTATGAGGAAACTCTTAAGAGATTTGCAACCTAAAGTTGCTTAGGAGATTGGCAGCCTCAAGTTGCTAACTTGTATCCCTTGTCACGAATTAATCAATCGAGTATCAACCTTCCATTTCCTCACTTTCTTGTTAATTTACAGTAAATTGCTTAGTCTATTACAAACTTTTGATACAGGACAATAGGAGAGCCACCCTAAAAGCTAGCTCAAGGGGAGGAGAGCCCATTGTCCTATATAAACCCCACATCAGTCCCCCATATGACCGATGTGGGACTCAAGTCTCATACCTTAGATTAGACAGTCCTATAACATTCGCCCCTCCTTACGGACCGACGTCCTCATTAGTAACGACCACGTTTGGTCACGGCCGTGTTTGGTCACGGCTGGCTTCCTCCGGGCCACCACTCCGAGGTTGGCTCTGATACCATTGATACAAGACAATAGGAGAGCCACCCCAAAAGCTAGCTCAAGGGGAGGAGAGCCCATTATCCTATATAAACCTCACATCACTCCCTCATATGACCGATGTGGGACTCAAGTCTCATACATTGCAATGGACAGTCCTATAACAGATGTAACCATCAATGTAGCCTTATAACAATTGAGGTAAAATTAAACCCATCCAACCCCACCATCTCACATAGCATCAGACCATTAATTCAACGAATCTAGGTAAGGAGGGTCACACATAAAGGAGTATCTGCAGCAAAAATCAAAAGGCCCCTGCAAAGGCAACCATAACATGTATGCCTCATCAGGCATAAGAAAGCTAAAAGGCATATCAACGCATTCAAATAACCCAACTTTTCGCCAACCTCAACAATTCCACCCAAAAGAACAAAACAATCGTCATAGTATAAATGGTTCACTTTATTGCAAGGCTCTTATTATGTTTCCACAATCGTGCAAACTATCAGGTTGCGGGAATGGAAATGACTTGTTGGTCGTGGATCATGTTGTGATTGTTGCAATATGAAATTGATTTCAAAGTCTTTTAGGATTTTATATCAATTGTACTTTGTTAGAGTAGTTAGAATAGACTATTAGAGGCTTAGAGCCATTATTTGGGAGACATTGAATAACAAGTAACTTTGGAGCACAACACGACATGTAAGTATAGCGATTCAGGGTTGGACCTTGGAACATCTGGTTCGAAAAAGATCGTAGGTTTTGAAACAATATGGCCCAATCTAAACAATGAAGTCGTATTTTAGTACCATGGAATCAATACTCTCTTTTTTTTTAGGATGAACAAATTAATATAATAAGAGCTAACATATACTTTGTATATAGTAAAAATTAAGAGGGCAAGCTCTCCTCCAATGGATAAAAGTATTAAAATTCACCCAAGAGTTCCTGAGTCTCCAGAAATGAGCAACTCCTATAGGCCCTAGTTGCTGGAATGCTAAATTGCTACCCTAATCCACAACAAATCACAAAGTGACACCTAAAAAGGTATGCAAAGTATGTTCTAGCTGCACACATCATAATATTGCCATCAAAGCATTATGGTGACTATGCCACTCACATCCACTTCTTCCCCTCGGCCTTTCCTAACTCCACAAATAGAATCTCCCAGAAATCCATGACAGAATGGGGTTATTGAGCCACATGGTATAAATTATAGCATGTGAGCAGGATTTACATTTTCATTACCAACCATATAGTAGACTTACCAAGTTATTGTTACAAATCCCAAGAAATTAATATAGCGAGGGATGAACAAAAATCCAGAGCTCTAATTCTGAATTCTGTTGATTTATCCCTCTGTGAGGAATTACTTAAACAAACTCTTAACACTTGTACATATAAAGGATTAGTCAATCAATTAATAGATACCACTAATAACTCGGCAAATTTTACAAATATCAAGTGAGACGACATAATGAGCATAGATCAGGTCCAATGCTAGTATCCAAAACAAAAAGCATTCACCTAAAGTAGATCCTTGGCTTTCTAAAGGAATAACTGGAAAATTGGGTAGCACATAAGGCAATTATTGACAGTGCATGAAAGATTTGCATATGAAGTTACATGACAAATCTTCCATCCACACCCTGAAATCTTGCACCTCGGATAACTAAATGAGAAACCAAATTGCACCCTGAAATTGCACCTCAGATAACAAGTTTTGTGATTTGGTTCCTCATTTAGTTATCAGGTCCAATTTCAGGATGCAAGTTATTGTTTCAGATAACTAAATGAAGTTACATAACAAGACTCCCTACTCTCACCAATACAGCATATTGAGAATCCCACCAATTTTGACAGATCTATATTCAAGGATTGAGGAGAGATGTTAAGAACATACAAGTGGTCTTACTCTCAGATTTATTCGTCTTTTACCAAGTAAATCAACACCTCTTCTCTTCTTCTTTTCTTTCTTTCTTTCTTTTTTTTTTTTTTTTTTTTTGTGCTTACCGCACGGCAAATTAATACATAAGTTTGAAATGTTGCTTCAAGTTTGTATGGATAATTGGGGGGGGGGGGGGGGGGAATCATTGTTAGATATGATGATGATGATGATACTAGGGAAGATGCCTAATAATTCTCAATAGCTCAAGAATTGAGGGAGTAGTTGGAGAGAACTATAAATGACACTGCAATACCCTTATAGGTGTGTTTGGATGCAAGAATTTCATTTGAAACTTCGTAATTGGGTGAAATGAGGTGTATAAACCCAATAATTTGAATTATGGAATTGGCCCATATCCTTAAATGGTGTTAAAGGCCCATGAATATGTGTAATTCAAACACTGTTTATTGTCATTTCAAATTCAGTTAGCCCATTTTTCTTATGCTTTCCTTTCTCTTTCATACAATTTATTAGTTCTTTAATCACCATTCTATTTCTCTCACTCCTAAATTTTCCGCTCTCTTAAACTTACACCAAGGCACCACTGTCCCAACCAACACCACCATTACCCTCTCCCCTGTTGAAAATTGCTATCTTTTATGCCACTGTCACCTTCTTATCACCACTTTTTCCGGGCACTTAATATGGCTTAGGTTAATTCATACTTGTAATTCTTCAAGACTCCTTTGTTCCCAAGATCTGTACTTGTAAATTTGTTCTCAGTATTTTTTTTATTAGAAGAATTTGTCTCACACTTGGATTTAATTCTTCTTTGCTATGGGAATCAAATATTAGAATATCCAATGTTCTAAAATAACAAAAAAAAAAAAAACAAAAAAACAAAAAAACAAAACAAAACAAACATCATTTTTTATTATTGAATTTTTCTATGATGATTGTATTCAAATTTTGTTGTAATTTTTATTTGGGAATACTATTAATAAATTCTAGTCCATCTATTCAGATTTTGAATCCAATTCTTCTGCCTATTACTTTAGTTTAGATTAAGTTGAAATATTGAATCCTACCTTCTCCGTAAGTAATTTCTTCAGCTGAATATTGACAATTCTAAAACTGAAATTCTACTCAATTCCAAACTCAAAGTGAAATTGAAATTCTAGATTTCATATTGTCATTATTAACAAAACTTTAAATTTGAAATTGAATTTCAACATGTAAATTCCAACATTTAAAATAAACAAATTCATATTCCAATTTTACAAACACGACCACCATTTTAAATGGAAAAATTCAAATGAAATCCAGTTTATCCAATTTTCCAAACACTACCACATGTCAATTGTGCTTGAGACAATGCTCAATGCGAAAAACTACAGAGTATCATAGATTAGAGCTGGTGATTTGGGATTAGGCCCATTAGGGAAGGCTGGATTGTGATTGAAACTCCCCTATAAGTTTTGACATTTATCACGTGACATAGTTTTAGGTGATTAATAATAATTTGATCATCAATTTTTTATTTTATGATATACCTGAATTTGTGGACAATATGAAAATATGATCCAGTGGGGGTATCTTTTTAATTGAAAAGTTAGATGTGATAAAAGATAATGGGGTACTTTTATTACATGTGTGATGGTGTAGGGCCCTTATATAGGGAAGAGAAATGCAAAACCATTTTCCCATCAACAGTATTCTTAAACATCAATCTCTTAAATCCCAAATATCCTTCCACTTATTTGAGCACACCATATTCCACTTCATAAGATGGTCATTCCTATTACCACTAACTCCAAACTACACCAACCTTCATCAACTTCTCAGCTTTATGTTGCTGCAGCGACTGCAATCTTAACAAAAGAAAGATCAAACATGACCTTTGCTACCAAAATACTATTACCACTAACTCCAAACTACACCAACCTTCATCAACTTCTCAGCTTTATGTTGCTGCAGCGACTGCAATCTTAACAAAAGAAAGATCAAACATGACCTTTGCTACCAAAATAAAATTACACATTCTTCCAGCCATACAATCTCCTTGAAATTTTCATTATCACAGGTTCCAAAAAACCCTATGAAGAGAGATCCCTCCAAGAATTCCAATAAAATTTGAGGGGGTAAGCCTGAACTGGACAACCTGCTAGTTCAACAAATTCTGTTAATAAACAAGTTCTTTATTACCACCAGAAATTTGTTTTTCCCTATAGTATCTTTAAGTAATACCTATCAACTCAAAGAATATGAGATATCCTTCACTCAAGTAATCATAAGAAAAGGAGACTGAAGATTCCTAATTCACGGCAATTACCTAAATCCTTAGCGAATGACCTCAGTTTGCGGAAAATGGAAATATATGTGACCATTTGTCCCCATACCCAAAAAAAATAAATAAATAAATAAATAAATAAATAAATAAATAAAGGTTAAATAAAATAAAATAAAACCATGAAGTTGGCATCACCCTAAATTAGAGTTACCTACTTAAATTTTGTAAGAGTTGTATTGAGTGAGTAGTTGTTTTGTCCTTATGCGTGTGGGGTAGGAAATAGGATAGGGGCCTTGTTAACATATAATGAAATAAGGCAATCCTTTAGAAGAACAAACTAACCAAAAAGGAAAATGGACGGTTTTTGGGTTAGAGATTCAATAACACTGCCTTAAGAAGACAATGTCCAGGTAATAATTTGATACATAACTGGATGACAGCCTTGGTTGCTTGGAGGCTGCAACTAAATCCCTAGATAACTAGCATACAATTAGGTAAATCATAGCAAGATTACCAATGAATGTCTGATGAGTTCTATATAAACTTACACAAACATTGTAAGATATAAAATGTGAATCTGTCACTCAGATCACACTTAAGTTTCTTATACACATGTAGAAGAGATTAGGAGATGAAAAGCCAAGTAAATGACTACCACATTATGCATACCACTCTGCAATAGCATAGAGATACAAATAAGTAATTACCTGGAAAAGCTCATAATTAAGCCTCTTAAGCATCAAGTTGTGAGCAGTTTCATTTGATACAGCAGTTCCTTTAAACTCTTCAGGAGCTTGACTAAAAAACTCAGCCTCGGTAACAAGTTGAATGTCAGGATACTTGGATTTGAAGTCTTTGCATGCCTTTATAGCTTTCAGGTAGTGGCTCTTCTCATACATCAAATTATGAAGTTGCAAACTTGTGGAGTCCACAGGTGCTTTTGCACGTTCAGTCTCAGCTTTCACGCGATCTTCTTCAATCAAGATCTTACGGTTTGCCTGCATCAAACACCCTCTATCATGACATTGCAAAGGAATTCTTACTACTAGGTTATAGACCATATCCATTGAACAAAATAAAGAGTTAAAAAGGAAAACTATAGATTAGCAAGACTATATTCATGTGAAATACAGAAAACTTTCTCTTTTTAGTCTTTACATAGCCATAGCATCCTTTAGAAGATGAAAATACAATATTGGAAGTCCAAGAAGGAAGGGAAGGTAAATTAATGAATCAAACAATTTCATTGAAGTTACACTATTTGATGACCATGGATACATAAATTCCATCCTAAAATTATGATATCTAGATATAATAGACCTAAGCCATTCAAAAGGATGACTTAACACCTTTAGGATATTATGCGCCAAAAATAAACCTAAACTAAGAGAGAGAAAGACATGACTATCCACACTAAAAGATATCAAATTTTAGGCGTAGTTCTATTGGAGCATAGATACATACCTAACCTTTTTTTTTCACTATATCTCAAAAGGATGTATCAATTTCTACCTATACAAACAAGAATGTGGAAATCTTAGATAATAACATTATATTATAAATTTAACAACCCTTGACATCTCTTATTATTAAGATACATTACCCCCCTTAGAAAAAACCTATGCTCTTAACCTTATTCATTATTTCCACCATATCTTACAAGGATGATTCAAATACTACCAAAAGAAACAAGAATGTACAAATACTAGATGATAATTATATATTCTAAAAGTTACCTCATTACAATTTTACAACCTTTAACAATCCTTACTCTAAAAGATAAATTTACCCTCTGTACATTTTTAAAAAAAATAATAATAAATAAATCCTCCCTCTATTCACAAATATATGTCCCATTTGACCTAAAAATCATGTCTCTAAACAGTGGCGTATCAGGAATTTGATCTGTGGGTTCGAAATTGTTAAAAAAAAAAAAAAAAAAAAAAAAAAAAAAAAAAAAAAGCAGATAACTCAAATTCGAATCAAATACATAAGTTTAAATTCGGATTACAAGTATACAACAAACATTTAGATAACTTAATTCAATAATACTCAAGTTCATTGTGTATACTAAAATAAATAAACTCTAAAATAAATAAAAATTTTAATTGTGAAAACTCCACAATCTACATTAAGCAAGAAACAATGCAAAATCCACAAGTCCAACACACCATAAAGACACAAACTCACAAAGGCACAAATATCTGGCAAATTTTAGGATATGTTAGTTATTCAAATAAATACTTTTATTTAAAATTAAATGTATATGAATCAAGAAAAAAAAGTTCAATTAAATTCTTTACACCCAATTCATAACTCTCATCCGTCGTTATCATAATTTTTTAACAAATCATTATTATAAACAAGTCTTACAAATAGATTTACTAAAACCGTGCATTGCACAGAATTAATTTAGTACAAGTATACAAGATTACAATTAAGTGGCTTAACAAAAACACAACTATACAAGATTACAAGTTAATTACTCAACAATTCAACAAATCATGAATTCAAATATTCAATTACTTCAACAATTCAACAAAACAACAAAGGAAAGAATAAATCCCCAAAAAAATAGAAAAAAGATGGCAAGGGTCCCCCATGACTAGTAAAATAGAGTGAGGCGGGGACCGCGTCTTATGAAGAAATAAGGCTGATAACCACTGAGCTAGCTTGCATCATATTGCTTTCTCTTTCACGCATTATTCTTTTAAGCCATTTTAATTTTCATTTTTTTGGAAAAAAATAAACCTTATCAATTTTTTTACGAAAAATGGGTGGGTTCAATGAAACCCCTTGAACCCACCCTAGATACGCCACTATCTCTAAATAAAAATCTCATTTCTCCACTATCTATTTTACTATTCGCCTTTAATCAATCAAACCCTACTTTTTTTTTTCTTTATTCACTTGCCAAACCCTACAATCTTTTGTTATATTCACCTTTAACCAACAAACCCCAAATTCTTCTTTTTCTATTCGCATGTAATCAATCAAAACCCCACACTTTCTTTATTCACTTTCTAGAAAAATTTATGCAAAAGGCCAAAGGGATTTTCATTTGAAGGCAGGGAATAGGGATTTTCACTTAGAGAGAGGAAATACGAAACAATTTAAGTCACAATTTCTTAAAGTTTTCTTTATGCAACTACTAGATGAAGCTCGTGCGATGCACGGTTTGTTTGTATTTTTCAGATAAAATATTTTATTAAATATATATTCATCAAATAACTTTGTGATATTAGCTTTCTTACTACTTGAATTTTTTATTATAAAATGATTTTTTCTCATATTTAGATAAAATTTGTAATATAAATAGATAATATTTTATTTTACAATATTTTATATATGGCTGACCACACTGTGTGGTCAGGATTACTTAGTCAGGAGTTACTTAATTGATCAAGGGTTACTCAATCGATCAGGGGTTATTCGGTCAGTGTTTGGGTGTCTCTCATCCGGCCACATGATATGACCAGCCACACAAAAAACACGCTGATTTTATTTTTATAATTAATATAAAATTTTTTATCTAAATTAAATTGCACTTCTTTTTTTTTCATTGGCTAAAATATAACATTTTCCTATGTGACGCTCTAAAATTAATCTTACGTGGCATAATCCTATTGTAGCGTTTTAAAATTATTAATCCTACGTGACACTTTTTTATTATAATCCTACGTAGCGCTTTAAAAAAACTAATCTTACGTGGCATAATTTAATTATAGCGTTTTAAAAATATTAATCCTAAGTAGCACTCTAATAATTTTTTAAAAAATAAAATCCTAGGTGGCGCTCTAAAAACTCGGGAAAAAAACTCCCATTTATATATATATATATATATTAGATTATTCCTTGAACTCCTTAAAGGTTGAACTTTTTCAACATTGAAGACCAAAGTTTTAACAATAAAATCAACATCAAATTGAATGATGAAATGAATGATTCCAAGTTCCTACAAAAACTTCAATTGTATACATTTGTTATTAATTCGTCAAAAGCACATAAATAAACCACATTAAGACCATACCTTTATCTAAGGTAAGTATGGTCGATTTGGTCACCAATAAATCCAAAATGCTCATATCAAACATTAAATTACATAAGATAACTCTAATAAAGCTCATCACAATAATTTGCCATAAGCAGGAAAACAATTATTCATCCTTTGATACTAGAATCTTTGGGTTTGAAGTTAGAACTTATAAAAGATCAATGGAGTTCAAACCTAGTATCCAAACCTACCTATAAATCTTATTTTGATAAATCAAGAGCAATATAAAGAAAATAACAAAATAAAAGACTTAATCATTGTTAAATGGATGAATCTCAAATATCTCAATCAAAACAATATTTGGTACACTTGGCTAAAAAACGTAACTTTTTATTTATTTGTGCAAGAGGAATGAAAAGTAAGAGCTCTTCTTTTCCATTTTCATCCAAATAATTGTCATCAATAAATCTATGAAGTCCTTAAAGGTGATAATTATAACATGTGGTATCTATGCTTACAACAATAATTTATATGGATTCATAAAATAATTGATACATTTCTTTTAAAGAACCACTAGATAAACTGCTATTGCTAAATCAAGAAAGAATTTGTTGAAAAAGCCTGATCCATGCTCGAACTTCATTTTGTCTTCCTAAATAATTTGACTAAATATCAAAGATAAGATTTAGATGCACTTTTAATAATACAAATAAGTCAATAATAAGCGGACATAAACTTTTAGTGTACTTCAAAAGCATTGCATTCTCTGCTAGAACTTAGGGGGCATTCCGTCAAGTGGTTAACATAAGAGAAAGGTGAAGGGTAAAAAACATCTAAAAAATCCAATATGTTTGTTTGGTATTAGGGACTGAAAATTCTATAATTAAGTTTATTGATCTATGAATATACAGAGAGAGATATTATAGACCCAACTTCTCAACCACAATAGCTCTTCCAGCAACTTCCTTTCTACCCCTTGACCTCTTCCTTTTCGCAGCCTGCCACCTCCATCTTCCTTCAAGTATTCAGCCTTTAACCATCACCAACAACATAGTCTCTGACAACAGTGTTGACAGGCCCGATTCAGATTCTACACTGGAAAATCCAAGGCCCTAATTCACATCTATGAAGCCAAATGTGCCTGAACTTAGTCATTGAAATCAAAATTATGGCTTGACTGGCATAATCGATCAGCTCTGATCAAATCTATGAACCTTGGGATATTAGTGGTTGACATGATAACTTTGGTTGCATAATGGTGTATGTAGGCTCTGTGACTTACCAGCCAGCATCACTTTGAAAAATTTTCACCAGATTGCAACTTGAATATACCTTCAGAGCTGAATGGCCATTGAGAGGTGAGGTGACGCTGGGGGAAGAGTTTGACATGGCTAGTTGACAAAAGGTGATAGGGAGAAGAGGGCATGTATGATTGAATTTATTTGCCAGAGTTGAAAATTGACCATGAAAATATCTACTTAAATACAGTTTAGCTGATTTGTAGTACGAAATGTTATACTGACCTTTGACCTAAAGTTTCCAAAGACACACTAGTACTTCAGATCTACATTTCGGTAAAGGCCCTTAATTCTAATTGCATGATTGCAGCACTAATCAGTAATCACAAGCTATTGTAAATCACAATGTCAGCGTAAAGGGTATCCATTGCAAGCAATCTGACCCCTAGCATTACCTCAATAATAGCATAGAAGCCATTTCCAATAAAACAATGGAAAAACACATCTTGAGTGTCAAATCGGATAAAGTCTAATTCAAGGTAGAAACATAGCAAGCTGCTAAATCAGATTGAATTTATCTCAATCAACAATACCAAACACATACCCACTCTCATATGCCATTCGAGTTCGAAATCAATACACTGCCAGAAAAACTAGTAGATACAAATTCAGGATAGCCTTCGAAACGATTTCAGTTCACCCATTAATTAAACAAATCCTCCCACTGCTTCATACTCTGGGATTTACACATTCACAATATCGCAATAACTAACATCGCACCAAAGTGAATGCTAGAACCATTGAATAAGCAGGTACAAATTCAGGATACCCTTAAAACGATTTCAGAATCACCCATTAGTTCAACAAATTCTTTCACTGCTTCATATTCCCGAATTTACACATTCACAATATCGCGATAATAATATTGCACCAATATGAATGCTAGAACCATATAATTCTAATTTCTACACATCAATTATAATAAAAACACAGCACGAATAATACCAAATAACAACAAATTACTCAAGCAACCAAAAAAATTAATTCGACCATGAAAATTCATGAAACAAACCCTAGAAAGTGAGATAGTTAGAAAGGGACCTGACGAAGAGAGACGAAATTGAGGAACATCTGAGTGACAAGCTCGCGAAGCTCAGGTTTAGGTTTATCATCCTTTTTGAGAGAAAGCATCTTAGCAACTATCTCTTCCACGGAAAGCTTGCTCTTTTTCAGCAAATCATAGGGAGATTTCTCTACCGCCGTTGGAGGAGCAACATTAGCTTCCGACGTTGACGCCGTAGACGCCGCCGCATCTTCCATCTTAACATCCATGGCAGCTGAAGCTCTGTTACCTCGATGTGGTTAATGCTTGTCAATTCAACTTTGGAGTAGTTTTAAAAATCAGACGTAACTAGAGGTGTCAAACTGTCAAAAATTAGGGCTGGACCGGATCACACCAACCCGGACTAGACTGAAGACCGGTAAATTAAAATTCCAGATCCGGAAACCAATGCCCGGACCGAACCGAACCGGTTTAGATTGTTATTTTCTTTTTTTTTTTTTTGGATGCATGGTTTGATTTTAGAATTTTTTATAAAAGATTTCAAAAAATTTAATGATATTGGCCATGTTTGGTAAATGACTTTTGGCTGGCTTTTGGCTTTATTTTTTGGTCAAACCATCAAAAAACATGTTTAGTAAAGCTGAAAACCGGCTTTTCCGCTAAAAACAAAAGGCTTGTCTTAATAACTTTTTGGTTTTGGCTTTTTGTTTTTCATTAAACAAATTACTTATTTATCCTTAATTAATAACTAATAATTAACAATTAATAGTTAATAGTTAATAATTAATAATTATTAGTTAATAATTGATGATGAATAATTAATAATTTATTAATAATTAGTGATTATTACTTAATAATCAATACTTAGTAATTAATAATTAGTATTTAGTAATATATAATTAATAATCAGTAATTTATAATTAGTAGTAACTAGTGGTGAATAATTAATAATAAGTATTTAATATTCCCTCCGTCCCCTTTTATTTGTCACTTTTGCCATTTTTGGTGCCCATAATTGTTTGTCACATTTCATATTTTCATAATTATTAAGATACATAAAAAACTTTTATACCCTTATTGTTTTTGTCCTTATTAACTCCTCTTCCGATTTTACCCTAACATTTGCCATAAAAATTGTGTCAACTTTTGACTAATTTAATGTTTTAAACTCTTGAATCTCTCAATTTCTCTTTCCCACGCACTTTAATTGTTTTTTTAATTGGAAATATCTCTTTTTCATACACTTTTATTACTTTATTGGTTGGGAATTTCACTTTCCCATATACTTTCATTACTTCACATTTTCCACCTTAATTCCCGTGATTTTCCTTCAAAAGTGACAAACAAAAGGGGGCGGAGGGAGTAATTAATATTTAATAATTTATAATAGTAATTAAAAATTAAAAATTGGTAACTAGTAACTAGTAACTAGTAATTAGTATTAAATAATACTGATAATAAATGAATAAGAACACATAATCATGCCATTTAAGGTCATTGTGCTTCGTTACAGCAAACAGTTAATAGCTTATTTTACCATACATATTTACATATAACAAATGGTCAAACAGTCAATACTAACGGTTAGTCAAATAAGCTAAGTTAAACAGCCAGCAGCCAACATCCAACAGCTAATTGTCAAACAAGGCCATATGAATATACGATAAAAGATAAAGGAAAAACAACTTTTATATGTTTTTTTTCGTAAGTTTAATACAAAAAACTCATAATTTTTATGCATAATTTTAAGCATTAATTGGTCTGGTCCAAGACCGGGTTTAAAAGGGTTTTGGACCAAACCGGATCGAAGACCGAAAATATTATTTTCTCGACCTGGAGATCGGACTGATTGATTCGATCAAGTCTATTTTTTTTGGTTCGGTCATTTTTTGACTCGTATATACACAATAATTTTACAGGACTCAACTTAAAATAGACCCATCCGACCCGACCTCATTAAACTCAAACCGAGTACTCGAATTGACACCTCTAACACATTTAAAGGTTCATGTAGGGGCACAACACAATTTTGAGGAAGTTTATCTCTTTTATTTATTTAACAAGTTAGGTACACATATTATTATAGATCAAGATACACCAAAGACATAGTGCGGCCTTTTTTTATTAAACAAGAAAGACATACACTAGTAGAAAAATTGAAAAAGGCACCCCCCCTTTTGCCACCGGTTCTTAAAAACCGGTGGGAAAAATAGTGGGCTTGATTTTGGATAATTACTTTTGCCACCGGTTCCTGATAAACCGGTGTCAAATCCTAATTGTTTTTGTTAAAAAAAAAAGGAGGAAAACAGATTTGCCACCGGTTCAACACAAACCGGTGGGAAAAGTGCTTTTAGAAGCGGTTCGAACCGGTGGCTTTTTTTTATAAAAAAAACCGCCTTAACCTTCTTTTTCCTTCAGCAATTCGTTTTATTATTATTCCATTCGCATTATTCCCCATCCCCTGCTTTCCCAATTGCTGTTCTTCTCGCCTCCATAACTACAACTTCATCAATTATTCTTCCTCTCTCGTTCTCGCCTACATACGACCCTCACCATTGCTCTCGTCCTTCGCTGTCGTCCTCCATTGAAGCGCATTCTGGGTTTCTCACCTCCATTGTCGCGCAACTCTTCTCTTTCTCTCCATAACTCTCCTCCATTGAAGCGCATTCAGTCGAGCTTTCTTACCTCCATTGAAGCGCATTCTGACTTTCCAACTGCATTGTAGCAGCTTCGAGGTATTATTGATTAATTTCGCAATCTAGGGTTAGTCGTTGATTTAGGGTTTTATGTTCTTTGTGTTGTGCTTTAATTTCTTCTTTAATTTCGAGTTGTGCAGATTTCAGAGGATGTCAATTGACAGTTGGAGCATTAAGCTTCTGTTGTAAAATAATTAAGTAAGTGTAATGGTTTTGCTTTTGCTATTGCTACTTAGCTTAGTGAACTTGACAGGTAATTAGGGAGTTATAACTGGACAAAGGAGCTTAGTGGATGTCTTTTAATCCATTATTTGTGCTACGTGGTTCAACTAAGAAAATTCAGCGGATATTACTTTTAGAATATGCCTCAAATTAGTTTGCCCCATAAGAATGACCTAGTATGAGGGTATTGTTTCTCAGTTAACGAGTCGAGGTTTGGGGGGGGGGGTGCAATGTGCCCTATGGTGTTGCCCTGAAGTTGGTGATTGTTATATTGAGCTTATGAGCAATGTTTTATAGTTGAGCACTTGTGCAAGCCTTATTTTAGGGCCTATTACGTTTCTATTTTGGGGTGGTATTTCAACTCTCTAGGTCATTAACCTATCGGAATTTTGTATTCTAATGTATATTCCTCGTGGATATGGCTTACACATTGCTAGTGAACCACACATATTCCATTATTGTATGTTGTTGTTCCTCTCTATTCCTTATCGCATTTGTTACAACCATTAGGAATATGTTTAGACTTTTGGTCAATTGTACTCCACAAGTAATCAAGTATTCCCTCGGCCCAGAATTAATAGTCACATTGACCATTTATTACCTACATAATTAAGGATTTGTCATGATTTTACTAAATCTCCTTGATGTCACTGAGTTTCAAAGTCAATGTCGTAATTGCATCCTCTCTTCATTATTTAAACAAAAGTTATAAATCCAATGGCCTATTTGGTATTGGATATTTCATTTGAAATGATGGATTTAGCCCAATTCACATGATTGGGAATACCAGGTATTTGCATTTGAATTTGATCAAAATTCTAGCCTTTATCATTTTATGCTTAGCCCATAGCATTTGAAATCCATTCCCATAGATAGTCATTTCTAATCCAAAAAATTGATCTCCTCGACTCTCTCTCCTCCTCTCAGCCACCATTAAATGCAGAAAGCAAGCTTAGCTTGTCAGTGCTTCCTCAAAAATTTAAAAAAAACTAGTGATTAGCAATTGTTAGTTTGGTTAATGATGCGTTATTCTTTAGCAATGTATGTAGGTATTAATTACTTACTAACTTTTGTTTTTTCTTTTTAATTTTTTTATAGATTCATATGTGAATTGAAGCACAAGTTTAGCTTGAAGACTACAAATTTAGCTCAATTGTGGTATGAATTAAAAACTTAGTCTATGTTTCTTTTTCTTGATTCATGATGAAAGTTTTCTCATGCCTTTACAACTTGTGTATTGTTTAATGACAAATTAATACAAAAATATATAAATGCTTGCATCATCATATGCCTAGATACCCGTTCAAGGCTTTCTCATTAGGAGAAAGTCTTGAATAGTCCCCGGTTGGGACTGTTCTTGAATGTTTGCTCTCACTTAGGTGGTGAATGTATGTCTTCTTTTTTCGATTTTAAGAAACATCTTGGCTTAGCATTTCCTCGATCACCATGTTCTCTGGGTACATATGTGGGTAATTTATTACCTACATCGTGTACTTGGAGAACTAGGGGTAAATGCTGCCGGATTTTCCTTAAAATTGGAAAGTCGACATACATTCACTAGTGAGAGTAAACGTTCAAGGATGGGTTAGGTTGGAGCGATAAGGACCCTTTGGAAGCATATATGCATTATTGTATCTATATGAATGTTATATGCATGGTGTGTGTTTGAATTTGATTTACATATATAATAGATGTAGCAATTATACATTATTCGTAATATGTTGCCATGTTTAGAGGCAATTTACTTAATGGAGAAGGATCGTGGCTGGATGTATGGTAGACGTGATACATTGGAATTCTTTGATGGGGTTCAAGAGTTTTGTGAGAGGGCTTCATCTTATCAGCGCAGAATGGGTTTTGATTGCCTCTATTGTCCTTGTGTTGATTGTAATAATGTGAAGGTGGTTAATAGTGTTGATATCATTAGAGATCATGTAGTTTGTCGTGGGTTTAGACTTAAATACCATGTGTGGATTTGGCACGGTGAAGAAGGAGAGTACACTGGGGATGTTATTGGGAATGATGTGTATGATGATAGAAGCAATGATATTCGTGTGGACGAGGGATACAAGAATGATGAATTTATTGTTGATAATGGTGATGAGGATGGATTTGATGATGATCAGGTGGATGAGGTGGAGGATGAAGGGGTGAATGAAATGATGCGTGGTGTTGAAGGTGACGTGTTTGAGTCGTTATCGGAGGCTTCTAAAAAGCCTTTGTATCCTGGGTGCAAAAAATACTCCAAACTATCAGCTGTGTGATAACTTGTTATTTGGCATGATTTTAGGGTACTTTTGAACCTTGTTTTCGTTATTAATTGACATCAAAGTTCATTTTTTATCCTATTTTTATGCAAATTTTGTACCATCCATGCTTCACCGGTTGTTTTTGTTTTTGATATAATATAGCTATTT